ATATTATGCCTCTTAATATAATGAAATAATTGACACTTAATCCCGATTGCAAATTTTTCTGAATAAGAATGTTTTATGAGCTTTCCATTTCTTTGTTCCAATGAGTTAAATCAAACAAGAACAAGCTTATTGGTATCATTGATGTCACAACTCATACTTTAACCCAATAAAGATGATTCCTTCCTTACTAATAAGACTATTAAAAAAATTAGCCTACTATCCTACTCTAATTTGGAGAACTCATACATTTCATCATTTATATTCAATAAAAAGGAATTGTTCCGGACTCTATCACGTCATGAAACAAATGTAAGTAGAATTCATCATAGTCATAACTACAAATGATCTCTTTTTTCTATTCTTTACACTATTCAAAGATCTGTTTAAAGTATCCATATGACCTTATTAATTTTCAACATAGTAAGTAATAATATAAAATAAAAATCAATTAGAGACACAACTAGTAACTCAATATCTGTTAATTCCGTATATGAACAGCAAAATGGGAGAGATCTTCCTTCTTAAGTTATTTTCTAAACATCCTTTTAGCGTTAAAATAGGTGTTAAATAAGTGATAAGGATATTGTCAGTATGAAGCAAACTAATAACAAAGTTAAGAACAAGAAAAAAATATGACGGCAATTGAAAATTATTTTAAAATAATAGATGACCTCTATTAGGGGAAAAACAGTGAGATAGACAAACCCTCATCCAGGTGACAAGTGTTACAGTCATGAAAAATCGTAAAAAAGAACTTCTAAAGGAATTAGACATTAGAAAACTATATAAGGAATGCTTAAAATATTCGTCGACTAAGCTCTCTTTGCAAGACATGAAAGAGTCTCTATAGAATATTATGCTAATTCGGTATTGTCTGTGGGGAAGACCTATCTAAACACAAAGCCCACAAAAGTCCATGATTTTAGAAATCGGATGTATCTACAAATGTTTTTAATACTCATGCCAAATAGGAAGAACTAGTTAAAAACAATAATTTCATGTAATTTAAATAAAAAAATTTATCTTACCTATTTTTTGTATATGAATATTTTATCCACAAAAAATGCTTTAACTTGTAGATTTACAATGAGTTGCGTAATGACATGATGTAAAAAGTACTTAAATTAAGTCAAGGGAACAGCAAAAACAAAAATAGTAAATCAAGAGAAAGGTTTTGAGGTGAGGAATAAACGGAAAGTTGAGCAAAAATAATAGTACATGTTGACATATATAAATCGAGGGATAAGTAGATAGACGTTTAGTATGGTTTACTGGTGGGTAGATAGTTAGGTTGCTGAGAAATAGAAGCGGGAAAATGTTATAGACCGGTCCCATAAGGGTAGTTGAACTGGAAAGATTTTCAAATGTGATATTTGCTTTATAGCTTAAACTTTTTGCTTATTGATTTATGCGCATGCAGTAGTATAGGTTATTATAAAACTATAATATATAGAACTATTCAAATTAATTGTATGATAATTGCAAAACACAAATAAATATCAATGCACTAACTTTGCCAAAAGGCTACGAACTTCAGCCTTTTGTGTCACAGCTGTAAAGCTCGGTCCTAGAGCTGGTGTTGTTGGTAAACCGATTTCAGTCAGTCCAGAAGTTATACTGTATGGCCAAGTGGCCAGCATATTAGCCGCATTTAGCTGAGATTGCGTCTGAACGGCAGCAGCGGCAGCCGCAGTAGCGCTTGCAGTTGAATTGGTTACACCTATCCCGGGAGCTATAATAGACCCGGATGTAGCATTAATTATTCCACCAGGAGTAGCGCCTGGCAGATGGGCCAGCATCATAGTCGCACTGGGACGAGTATTCTGGTTATAGGTAGATGAATTCAATCCTGATCCTGCCCCTGTTGCTGTCGCTGCTGGTACATTGGTAGATGCATGCACTTGGTGGGCGAGGAGACGTTGTTGAGGGTGTCCAGATATTTCCCCTGCCGAGGAGACCGTTGAATAGAAGCTAGTAGTATTTACATTAG